TCTGGATGAGAGTGGTGATACCCACACACACGAAGATGGTGCCGATGAGCTGGCTGATCATGTTCTGGTCTTGGCCCACACACAGTGCCTCGGCCAGGAGGAAGGGAACAGCGATGGTGCCGCTAAAGCATGTCAGGTAATGCTGTGAGTGGCAAGAGAAGAATCATGAGGCAGGGCCTGCAGAGCTCACGGGGAAAGGGCCACCCTAGGTCCTCATGCCTTTCTCACAGGGCCTGAACCCCGGTGCCCTGGCAGTGCACCCCCATTACACTCCCCACAAGGCATTCCCACTCTGGGAGTCACTAAATCTTCCCCCAAGTTGTTCCTGTGTCTGGGCCCTCCTCACTGCCACCAACTCTCAACCTGGTAGACACAAAAATCTTTTCCCAGGCCTTCTCTGTGTCTTTGTGTTTCTGCTTGGTGACAGACACCATGCTGACCTTAGCTTTCTTTTCCTCTTACCCAAGGTAACCTTGCTGGCCAGGGAGGGGCTGGGATACTTGGGGAGTGCCAGAGAGGCCCTAGGGCAGGGAGGGGACAACCTACCTGGAAGCCAAGCAGGATACACAGGTACCAAGGTGGCACATCCTCAATCTTATACAACATGTCAAATTTGGGCTCCGTGGGCAGGGGCATCTGTGGATCCCTGGTGGAATTTCCTGTTGAGCTGGGAGACTCATGCTGGGGCAGTAAAGAGAAGCAGCTCAAGGTGAAATAATAGGGTGGGCAAGATTCAGGCTGTCCCAGAATCAATCAGGTAACCTGAGTGGCCTGTCAGGAATGTAGAGCGAGGCCCTGGCTGGGCTCTCCCCACCCTCCCCCACAGTCCTTTCATCCCACTATCACCTGGCCAAGATGCACTTGGCCCCCTCATCACAGTGCTCCCTGCAGGGGCAGGATACTCTGTGCTGGCCCCGAGAGCCCTCAGGATAAGGACATTTTAGCAGGGGGATGGTCCAAGTCAGAAGACCCCTGAAGAACTAGGGAGGGAGCCCAGAGAGCAAGAAACTGTGGAGAAACAACTCTGGTCCCACCACTGCTCCTGGAGGTCCTTAAGGGTGTGGCTGACAATGAGGTTGGGTCCCTACTGGCCCTCAAGTTCAAGCCAGCCAGTTACAAAATTAAAGGCTCCTTCACCTCCCCCTCCATCCCATCCCATCTCCCTATTGCCACATTCAGCTTGGGACTGTCACTTGTTATCAAGTTCATCAGAATTTCTGTCCCTGCCCTCCCAGAGAGGCCTATACAGGTCCTCCAGCCCCCACTCACCCTGCCCCTGCCCAGCTTCCCCCAGTCCCCCAGCACCTGTGTCCGGCCCTCGGGATCCGTCTGAGCCCTCATGTTTGGGGCACAGGTTTGAGAAGCTCCTGAGAAAAAGAGGATGACTTTATGAAGGCCAAGGAGGACTTTACTCCATGCATCAGACATTGTTCGAAGTAAATCTGTAACCAGGTCCCTAGCTCCAGATTGCGAAAGGGGGATCTGGGCAGAGGTAAGGTATTAACCCTGGCTAGGTGGTAAAGGCCACCCAAGTCTCTGCCACGTTTGCCTCCTGGGCCCTCCCCTCTCTGCCCACACCTGAGCCTGGCACGAGACCTGTGCTTGTTTCCCAGAGAGGGCCAGGGTCGAGGGGTGAGGTGGGGACAGTCTTGGAAGTTCACCACAGGTGAGGTGAGAAGAAAGGGATTGGAAATGGGCACTTGTGATGTCACGCTCTGCCATTAATTAATAACAAGTTAACCCTTATCATCATTGTCATAATCATTCTCATTACGGAGGAATGATTGCATGCCAGGCCATACCTTTATATATATATATATGCACTGTCACGTGAATGCCCTGGGGCTCAGTGTATTAACCCTTTCACGGCTCAGGATACAAGAGAGTAATATGACCAAGGCCACGCAGGTAGCTAGATTTCAGAAAACAAGCCCTAAAATTCAGGTTGACTGAAGCTGTCCAGTCTCTACAGCCCTTCATCACTCGGGATCCTGAGGCAGTAGCAGACAGGTCTGTGCAGCCTGTATTTTTTGGCACTAGAGATTTAACCTAGGGGTGCTTTGCCACTGAGCTACATTCCCAGTCCTCTCAATTCTATTTATTTATTTAGTTAGTTAGCTATAGTACAGGGGATTGAACCCAGAGGCACTTAATTACTGAGCCACATCACCAGCCTATGTATATAATTTATTTTATATATATATAATTTATTTTTATGTGGTGCTGAGGATCAAACCCAGTGCCTCGTACCTGTTAGGTGAGCACTCTAACACTAACTCTAACACAACTCCAGCCTCTTTTTTTTTTAATATTTATTTTTTAATTGTAGGTGGACACAATACCTTTAGTCTATTTATTTTTATGTGGTGCTGAGGATCCAACCCAGGACCTCAAATGTGCTAGGCGAGCACTCTACCACTGAGCCACAACTCCAGCCCAAGCCTCTTATATTTTATTTTGAAACAGAGTCTAGCTAACTTGCTTAGGGCCTCACTAAATTGCTGAAGCTGGCTTTGAACTTACAATCCTCCTGCCTCAGCTTATGCCACCATGTCTGGTTCCTCTTTATTTTTTATTTTGAGACAGGGTCTCCTTAAAGCTGAAGGCCTTCCTAACCTAACCTCAAACTTGTGATCCTCCTGGCTCAGCCTCCCAAATCTCAGGAAATAGTGGTATGGGCCATTGCGAATCTTAATATAGCAACAACAGATAATTAAACTGAGCATGGGGTCAGTTTAATTATCTGTTGTATTAGGAATCTTAATATAGCAACAACAGATAATTAAACTGAGCATGGGGTCTTTGTAAGGACTGGGCCCCATGTGCCCATGTCACACAACCCCATAAGCCAGTCCTGTGCCCAACCTATTTCCTTTCTGAGCTTCTAGCCCAACCCAGCCAAAAGTCTAGGGACTGCCAAAGAGGAAGCGGGGTGTGCCAGCTTAGAGCCCAAGCTGATAGGGAGTGGGCCTGGGTTCCCCATATACTTCCCTCTGGTCTGCTCCATCCCTAGCCACCCCAGGTTGCACCTACTTGGGGGTTGCTGTGCCCATGGCCAGTCGTGACCCCAGAGGCCCAAAGGCAGCACCGCTCTCCATCTGGGCAAAAGCTTCATCTTGTAGCCCTGAGTCCGGTTGTTTGTCTTTCCTTCAGTTTATTCTTTTGTCCACCTTGCTGCTTCTCTTCCTCTTGGCTCCTGCTCCCAGGTTCCTAAAGTCGTCTGACTAGTTTGGAACCTCTGCAACTCCTTAGGACTGGCCTTTCCACCTCCACCCCCTGCAGGCACAGCTCCTTGGACACTCAATTTAACTGATACCACACCTCAAGGCACCTGACTGGCAGGAATTGTCTATGTCCTGAGGCATAGTAGCCCAAATGGCCCTACACCACTCAGACTCACACAGTCCCTACCAAAACACAGGGTCATAGACCTCTCAGAGGCAACCACCCACATTCACATTTTATATTTTTGTTGGCTCCACCAGTTCCTTGGGCTCTGGAACCAGTGCCTGGGGGTTCCATCTCTTCTGGGGTAAGGGCCAGGAGGTGATGGGATGTGTGGAGTTAGGGCTCCAGAGAGGCTCACAGGGCAACTGGAGTGGTCGGGGCGTGTCTGGGACACCCCATTCCTCTAGAGTGGAGCTTACCCTACCCTCCAAATCTGAATCTCCATACAGCCCCACCACTACTAGGCCTGGGACTTGGCCTGAACCTCTGTTGTCTAAATCTTAGTTTCTGCATCTGTCAATGGGGATTAGAGTGTGTTCTGCCCATCTTCCAGGACATCAGTGGGTCAGAAACATGAGGGAAACTGTAAGTTGTAGTGCTGTTACTAAAAGCTCGGTCCTTGCCCCTGATGCCAATCCAATAACAAGGACATGGCTTTAAGAAAAAGGAAAAAGAAGTTTTATTGCTTTGCTAGCAAAGGAGCAACACAGAGGACTCCTGTCCCAGAGGTTGTGATTCTGCCCATCAGGGGTTATCAGAGTTGTAATTCACTTGTTAATTTGGGAGATGGTAATTTCTGAGATCTTCCGGTGAATTACTTGTTCCTATAGTGGGTCTGTACTGGGACAGATAACTCTTCCTAGGGTGGACAAGAAAGGTAATCCTGTTTCCCCTGAGATGGGGGAGAGAGAGGGATTAGGGAGGAGCAGGAAGAGAGGTAGAGAAAGAAACATCCTTTTCAGAATCAGTTGCAGTGGCAGAGCATCAAGGGCTACATTCAAAGCATAAAGTGGTCCACTGTCCCACTGCTACCTGATCCCAGGTTCCCATACCCAGGTGGGGCCCAGGGCTCCTTTCCGAAGGGTAAGGTCCTTGGCCAGAATTTCTAGAGAGAGCTGTATGAGAGCCAAGATGCTGACTCAGCTAGTTCTAGGAATCCTGCCCTGGCCCAGGTGTGCACTGTGGTCCAATCACCCCAGCTGCAGCCCATGGAAGAGTGCAGAGAGTAAGGGCCACTAGGCAGAGAGCAAGGAGACATATTCTGTTGTCTTTGTTTGTTTGTTTGGTACCAGGAATTGAACCCAGGGGTGCTTAATCTCTGAGACACATTCCCAAACTTTTTTATTTTTTGAGACAAGGTCTTACTAAGTTGCTTAGGGCCTTACTAAAATTGCTGAGGCTGACCTCAATTTTGAGATCCTCTTGCCTCAGCCTCCAGAGACACTGGGATTACGTAGGTGTGCCACCAAGCCTGACAGGAGACATGTTCTGGGAGCAGCACAGATTGCATGGTGGAGATGCATATATGTGGCCACAAGGTGGCCGCCTGTGGTTTCCTTGATTTTCTTTCTCTCTTGTTGAAGCTGAGGATCGATCGGGGCTGTCCCTGTTCCATATGCCTTTCATAGCTTACTCATATTTCCAGCCAAGCCAGCTCTCACACACCTCTAGGGAGTTGTAGTGATGTCTATTTGGCCTTTTCTAGAAGGAACACCGGTAGAAATACCAATGTCTGTCTTCCCAGCCCCCAACACACCTTTTGCAGGCAGGAGTCAAGATCACTGGGTTTTATTTGAGTTCAGAGAAAGACTATGTCCCTCCCAGGCCCTAGTGCCCCAGAGTGTAGGAGGAAAGAGCAGCAGCACCTCCCTGCCCTCTGGTAGCCTGCAGAAAGCAACAGGAAAGGTCCAGAGGCGGTCCCAGCTTCTCTTTAAGGGATAGGAGTAGTGATGGACTAGAGCTCTTTCCTTGTGGCTGTCTCCTTGTCCAAACAGGCCCCCTGGGAGCCCCCACACAGCAGTGCCTCCAGAGCTCCTTGGCCTTGTTGGTGGGCTTTGTAGATCTGGTCTTCTCCAAACTCTCCCAGGTAGTGAAAGCATGTTTCAGAGAGCCTACGGAAGCCCAGTAGGAGACTTGGACTCGGCCCAGCCCACAAGGAAGTCGTGGGCAGACCAAGGCTCCCATGGCCCCACCCCATCCCCCACCCCATCATCACCTGATGGGCCAGGGGCCTCCTGTGATCATCACACTGATGCTTGGCTCTGTCCCCTTGCTAAGACCTGGGCCAGTGAGATGTTTCACCTGGTTCACTTCTTGGACACCATAGCTGGTCAGCAGGAAGGGGAAGGATAACCATTGGTGGGAGTCAAACCAGGGAGAGAGACCTGTTTCCACAACAGGCTGGGCACTTGGGCATTTGAGCTGAGAGGGAAAGACCCTGGCTCAAGGTTGCACAGAGACTTTCTGTTGGCCATTTTGTCTCGAACTTGCTCCCAGCTCTAGAGCCCAGAGTTCATGGTAGCCAGCCCCCTCCCTCAAGCCAGGCCAGAGCCCCCAAGGAGTGGTGGGAGTGGAAAGGGGGATCTGCACCCACCAGCCCTATTCCTGAAGGAGGGAGGCAGGGGCCGAATTGACAACTCACTCCTGCCAGTTCTGGGAGCAGCATCGGTCCAGGATGTCTGTGTATATGGACTCACTCAGCCCCTGTGTCCCCCAGGAGTCTGGATGATGAAGCTTGGCCTCTGCCTTTGCCAGATGTTGCCACATCTAGAACATGGAGGGGCTAGGAGCCAGGGGGTTGGCTATAGGTCAGTGGTGGGGAGGAGGGGAACACAAGTCTCTGGGGATGATGTGGCAAGGGAGCGGTTCAAGCAGGAAGCACCTGTGAAGCAGGCTTTGGGACTTATCCCCCAGGTCCCCAAAGCTGGGACTGGGCCAATGGAGGCAGCATCCACTCCCCTGAGATGGGGATGGGAATACTGAGATGGAAGTTTAGGCCCAGGCACTGTGCCTGCCACTTGGGCACATCTCCCAGAAGCACATGCCATTTTAAACCACAAGAACAAGGAAAGCAGAAAGAAACACACACACACACACACACACACACACACACACACACACACACATGCACGCACGCACGTAATCCTAAGCCATGTGTATAAGCATGCGCATGGGTGCGTGTGCACACACACAGAGGCATGTTGGTATGCTCAACGAGGCAAGTGTGCACTGAGAAACATATTTGTACATGTATCCACGCAACATATGTACCCCACATATACATATACAAGGCACCCTGTGGATTTGGGGAAGGAGTCAGACCTAAGGGTGGGTCTGAAAGGGAGTCTAAGAAAATGAGTAATTCCCTCGCTAAACAGTATCTCAGGATACTGTGGGGGCGTCCCAGATAGTCTGCTTTCTGTTGGGCAGGCGGATGAGTAAACTGAGGTTCAGGTGAGGTGGGGTTGTAATCTTTTGTAAGGCTGGGTCTGGGCTTGATGCCTGGTGGTGGGGGTTGAGGATTAAAGGCCAGTGGTGGAATCTGAGGTAGATAGAGGGGTCTGGGTAGGGACAGGGGGAACTGCTGGAGGGGAAGGACTCACCTGAAAGGATACGGCCCTGCAAGCATCACATCGCAGGTGAGCAGGCATGTGGGCTGAGTACTTCTCCTCCTCATCAAGCTGTGGGGCAGTGGCTGAGAGCCAGGCCTTTTCTCCAAGGCCCCTGGGGGCAGCCCAGGTTCCTAACAGCAGCAGCAGTGGCAGTGACAGTCTCATGGCCTCCTGAGTGAGCTCACTGAGCATGCACTGTGGTTGGGGTGCAGATGTACGTGCTCATGGGTGCAGTGGGAACTGCCTCTGTCCCAGACCAATGGGGAACTGACACCTCACCCCTCCCCCAGGGCCCTAGAGATGCCACGTGTGCTCTTCCTTCAGCAGGACCCTGGCAACTCAGCTCCATTTCATAGTCAGGGAAAAATGAGGCAAATAGGGGGGCTGCGCCTGTGCAAGGACACATAGGAGTTGGCTGCAACCTCACGCTGGGATCTGGTCAAGTGGCAGGCACTTGCATGAGGAAGTAGTTGATTATTGTCATTTTTATTCTACCCTGAAGACATGAAAGCTCACAGAGAAGTGACAAATCCTCCAGCTAGAGAGGCCATGTTGAGATTGGAATCCAAGCCTGATTGACTCCCAAAGTCCACTGGCCCCTCAGCCACTGAGATGAATGTGGCCATAAGGGTGGTTGCCAACTTAGGTCTCTCTTCCTGGGAGGCAAGTTCATCCAGGCAGGGAGGTCAGAGCGTGTAAAGGCATATGTCCTTCCATAACCCTGGGTTCCCCTCAACCTAGGGCAGACCTAGGCATGAAAGGACATTGTGGGAGGTCTTAAGAGGCCCAAGCAGGAAATTAGGCACCTTACACCAATCATCATTTCAGCCACCATGGCTCATGGTCAGCTATTTATTGCACAACAGGATGAGGCAAGGTGCCCAGAGGTGGCCTGGGACCCAAGGTTTTCCATACCATCAGGACCTGTGTCCCTGGCCAAGAGCTGTCCAGGTTATTCTGACTCAAAGTTCACCTACTCAGCTTCCAGTCCAGGGCAAGGGACTGGAACACAAGGAACATGGGCCCCAAGGTCTGTAACAAGGAAGGCATTGATTCCCATCTCTGACACTGTTTCTAATGAGAACTGTTTTTCCCAAACACATCACTTCACACCCCAGTCATTCCAGGCTCGGAATCACACACAGACCCCCAGGCATACACACACACCCCCCTCCAGCTCCTTCAGCCTCCTCAGAGGCTCTTAGAATCTCTCAGAAGCTCCTAGAATCTCAGGAAAGTTGGAGCACAGGTTCAGGGTCCTGTCCTTTCCTGTGCTATGACCATCCAGCTCCTCTCTGAGCACTGTTATCACATGTGTGATAAAAACTGAGAATTTTGTCCTCTCCAGTCTACCTCACACAGGGCCCACCCCTCCTACTGCCAGCCCAAACCCACCTTCCAGCCACTCAGAGGGGTCAAAGCCTCCCCTGGAAGCCAACAGCCCAACTTCCTCCTCTTGTAAGTTTTTTATTTTTATTTTTTCTGTGTTGGGGATGGAACCTAGGGGAACTTAACCTTTAGCACTAACCTACATCCCCAGCCCTTTTTAAAATTTTTATTTATTTATTTATTTTTGTGGTGCTGGGGATTGAACCCAAGGCCTCATGCATGTGAGGCAAGCACTCTACCAACTGAGCTATAACCCCAGCCCCAAAATTTATTTATTTTGAGACAGTGTCTCACTAATTTGCTGAGGCTGGTCTTGAACTTTTGCATCCAGCTTTGTAAATCCTTGGTGATTTATTTTACCTGTTCTTACCTGAGTGGAAATGGCTGATGCCTGCACTTCTAAGATGAGCCAGCTCAGCTCCCAGGGCTCTGAGAATCAGAGACTGGAGTTGAGGGGAGGAAGGAAAAGCTAGGCTCCCCAATGAGGGCCACAGCCACCTGGACCTACCTCACTCCAGCCTTTTCACCCCCAATTCCAGGCTGACTCCCCACTCCCCCGCTACATTGCTTGCTCACTCCACCTCCACCTGCTGCCTGCACAGCTCCCTTTCTTAGTTCCAACTTGGCCTGGGGCTGCGCTAGCCATTTTCCCCCACAGCCTCCCAGACCAAAGCTCAGCTACTTTTCCAAAAAACAGACTTGATGACCAGAGTCCTTCCTCTTCATCTCAACAGTGCCCACTGGCCTGCTCCACATCAACTAGGCCCATTTTCAGGAGAGGACAGACAGCTCACCACCTCTGGAGACCACCCTGTTCCTGCACATCTCATTCCCACTGCCCTTTGGAGAACACCCCCTCAGGCTGGTTTCCTCCCATTCCTTGCCAACATAAACACATACACAAACACGCCACACCCTGGGAATGCGGTGGGAAAGGGATATACATTTTTGTTGGGGTAGGAAGAAGCCAGCTACCTCCTGAACTCCAGCTCCATCAACCTGGGGTCTCACATACCTTCTTTGAAAATGACTTCTGGCCTGAAGACTGGCTGGAACAGACCAAAAATGGTGATGGAAGGAAAGGTCAGGGAATTGGAAGCCAGAAACTCTAGACCATTTAGGGGGCCTCAACTCCATGTGGATCAGGCCCTAAGGCCTCACAACGGGAACACAGAGCCCTTGCTAGGCTGGGTGGGATCCGAGCGGGCAGGTGGGGCACAGAGGAGCAGAGATGGGGCAGGACTGGGAGTCCCGCTCATGGGGAGGTAGTACATCCCGTCCAGGGGTCCTGCCTCAGAGGCCCAGGGCAGCTGGGAGCTGCTGAGGGCTGGCAGGCCCGAGGATGGCGGGAGTGAGAGACCAGGAATAGACCCATAGGCAGGCGGGTAGAGGCCAGGCCCCAGGGATAGCGGGGTGTAGATGTGGCTGGGCTGCCTGGGGGATGAGTGCGGTAGCAGAACCTCCACATACTGCCCGCTCTCCGGGTCGAAGAGCAGCCGCAGCCTCGGCTGCCGCGGCGCCTCCACAAAGTAGTAGCGGCCGGTTTCTGGGTCCACTAGGACCTTCCCCGGGTGCGTGGCTCCCAGAGGCCTGCGCATTGCCTGGGAGAGGCCTTGAGGGGACCGGTCCGTGGGAGGTGCAGAAGCAGCGCGGGGCTGGGGCCGAGCTGTCATGCTGGCCAACGCCTGGGACTCCGGCAGAGCGGGGGAAGCTGCGGATTCGGGGGTCGCAGCAGGGGCCTCTAGTTTGGGTGCAATCCCAGGGCTCGAGTTAGGGTATGCCTGAGGGGAGCCGGGGCAGGATAGTCGGGTCACTGAGGGTCCTAAAGAGGACCGCTGGGGTGAGCTGCGAGCGCCGCCTAGGGGGCTGGTCCGACCCTCGCCGTCGGGAACCAGGCGCGGTGTTTTGGCGTCCGGATTCTCTCCGCCCGGACTGTGGACTAGGACTCTCGAGATCCTCTCTGGCCGCCCGCTCAAGGCCAGAGCACCAGGCAAGCGGATTTCAGTGCGCGCGAAGGGTTTGGCTGTGCTATTCTCTGCCCTCCGCCGCAAGACCCCGTTGGGCTGCGAGGCGTCCCGTGGGACTGTGTCGAGGGATGGCTCAGGGGACTCGTAGGGGTGCTGCACGACAGGCAGAAAATCCTTGAGAAAAACGGAAGTGTAGTGAGCTGGTGCGGGGGACCCCAGCACCTGATGCTCTGGCGTCTTTGAAGCATCGCCCTCCTCCCCGCTAGAATCCGAAGGAGGCCCAGGTAGCCCTGAGCTTGGGCTTCCGGATGGGAAGCTTGGAGCGTACGTGGTCTTAACTATCTTGCGCACATCTCGCGGCCGCGGAACGGCCACGCGTGAGCGTCCAGAGGCCACTTCAGAGTACAAAGCTTCTGGGGGCACATCAGCGTCCAGGGTCCTCACGACGTGACTGCTCAGGGGCGGCTCAGGGGCCTCTGTCTTTGGCGATGGCTCCGTGCTTGTGAGGACGAGATTCGGACTCTCTCGCGTGGGGGTGCTCTGCACCTCGGTTAGTTCTGGAGTCCCGGGTGCGGCTGGTGTAGGCGGTGCCAACTCCTCAGCTAAACCATTCATAGCTTCCCGCGTAAACGCTGTCGACGAGCCCTGGACCTTGGGACCCCCTGTCCCTTGGGGCGATGGGCTCCGCGTTCCAACGGCACGATCTTCCGCCTCCCAAGGGAACAAGGCCAACGGAGACCGGCTTGTACCCGGCCCTACAGCCTCTCTTACTGCTGGCTGCGGGGCGTCCCACAGGGAAGGAACTTCGGGGGGTGAGCTCCTTACTCCAGGAGCACCCTGATTCCAGTGGGAAAGAGTTGGAGGGGAAGGGGTCCTCCTGCTGGAAGTTTCCTCCACAGAGGGATTCTGATTTTCCCAAGCAGAGGATGCTTCAGGGAAAGACGGGCTACTCACCCTCGGTCCAGTCTGATCCCGTGGGAACGGGCAGTGGGGACCCCGCTCGGCCCCATTTGGAGCCTGCCACAATGGAGAAGGGCTCCTTGGCCTCACAGACCTACTCGGAATCTCCGAGGGGTCCCTAAACTTAAAAGGTGGACTGTATGCCCTAAGAAAAGTTCGATTCGGGGTCTCTCGTGGGAACCGAGTCTTGGGTTCCTGGTTTCGTGCCTCCTGGATCTTTTCCTCCGATTGCAGGAAGATACTGGAACTAACAGGACCCAAAGGCTCGGTGCCGGGCATGGGCTTGTCGCGCCGAATCGCGCGCTCGCGTAGGCTGGGCCAAGGCCGCGGGGCTCTCGCCCGGACCAGATTATCTTGATCTCGAAGTAGCCGAGACTTAGCCTCTTCCAGGACCACGTGGGTGCTGCCGGACGTTTCCCGAGTCTCAGGTTCTGGCCGCTTAGTGGGCCGAAAGGTGGTGCTGCTTGGCTCTGGGGCAGTGGGGCCCATTTTTCTGGCCAATGCTGTCTGCACTAGGCCTGCAGCGGCCTGCAGGCGTCCCATTGACTCGTCTAGGGAGCCGGTGCGCAGGAACAGTGGGGGGCGCGGCGCGCCAGCCGTTCTCGAGGGACTTGTGGGTCGGGGGCGAAGCTCGATCTGACGCTTCGGCACCGTCCTGGGCCTGCCTGGAGCGGTGTGCTCCTCCTCCAGCGCCACCTCCACACACTCGAACTGTGCTGAGGCCACAGGACTTGGCCCACCGGGCCGCAGCTCCAGATAGGTGGCCCAGCGGGAGCCACCGTCGGGGGACTGGGGCTGCAGTTGCATAGGGGAGGGTGACGCTGGCTCCGGCGGTTTGCTTAAAGCCGGCGCCATGAGCTCTTGCACCTCGCAGTCCTCGGCATCTGAGCTGCTGAACAGAGGCCTGGCGCTGAAGATGACTTCCATCTCCCCCGACGGCAGCATGCGCAGCTGGGGCTGGGGTGGTGGCGGGCCGAAGCCCGGACCTCGGGGGAAACCCGAGCTGCACCAGATCTGCTGGCTGCTATTCTGGGAGCTGACAGACAGGCGAGGCTGCGCATCCACCCCCCGCCTAGGTACCACGCAGGGCCAATTCTCCTGGCCTTCTGCGTCCGGCCCAAAGTCCGGGGGCTCTGGAGAATCCGGAGCTGTGTGGTAGGAGCCAGATGAACCTGAGGAATCCTGGCGACGCGCGGGGGCCGCGGGCATCCACCTCGGGAGCCCAGGCAGCTCTTGCGGGACGACTGCGGTCAGCATGGTGGGCCGGACACCGCGCACTACCTCTCTCGCAGTGCCTCTGCTGGTGGCGCGGGTACTGTCCCCGCCCCGCCAGAGGATGCGATGGGGTCAAAGCGCCTTAAAGCGGCCGCGTCCACTCGCAAGTCAGCGGCATTGGCAGCAGGAGAGAAGTGAGCCTCAAGCCCCCAAGGCAAACCTCCCCCTTTCTCCAAGACTCCAGGGTAGGACTCCAAGGTTTGGACTGACAGGTGAGAGGAAGGCAGGCCCACCTTTGGCGCAGGCAGCTAGATCGAACTTCACCTAATACAAGTGAGGGAACCTGGGCTAAGCAGGGGCTAGCCTGAGGTCAAGCCTGTGGTGTGCAGCGTGTGTGCTATTCAAGTTGAACAGGAAATCAGACCATCAGGCCAGAGAACTCAGGTCTTGCTATTGCCACCTCCCCTCAGTCCCAAGCTTCTTGATTTTGCAAGGCAAGACCCCTCCCCCACCCTCTCATGGCTTGCCCTGTCATGAATTTCCTCTACCACACTCATCCTGCCCCAACAACCTTCCATAGCGTGGAGCATCATGAGAGGCCTCCCCCAGCTCCAACAAAAGTTGTGCTGGGGCCTCAAGATGGTTCTGATCACCGCAAGACAGATTGCCCTTAGTGAGGCTTTGGAAAGGGCTGAAGTGGACAGCTTTACTTTTTATAAACTGCCTTAGTGCCCAGAAGATGCCCTGGATATGCCCTTGGGAAACTTGTGTGGTCCCCTCTAAAGCCCTCAGGCAAAAAAGAAGCCCTGTGTGCCCTCACAGGCCCTCATTCCAACCCCCACAATCTTTGGTCCTGCCCTAGGGACAGGCATTGGTGGGGGAGCTGCCACCACCTGTCATTGTCTAATGACAATGGGCACCACTTGCCCTTCAATTCTGGCTTCAAGGTCTTGCCATGACTCAGGCCCCAGCTGGCCCTGGATCAAGAACTCTGGCCTGTATATTCACCCTCACATTGACCCAGAAGAGGCTATACTTGACAAATCTGACTCAGCCTCATGGGTGCCCTGCCTGAGTATCCCCTTGTTCACCTGGAGCACACTCAGTGATGGCTTCTGAAAGGATATATCCTGTCCTTTCAATTGAGCCCTACCTGTGCAACTTGGGCAAGTGGCTGCTCCTTCCCAGATGATTTCTCACCTTAAAAAAAGATGCAGGTCAGTGATAGAACACTTGCCTAGCATGTGTGAGGCCTTGCGTTCAATCCCCAGTATTTAAAAAGAAAAAGATACAGCATTGTGGTTTTCCCGCATCCATTTGTGAAGACTGATGAGCTTCTGTTTGGGGGAGGTAGAAGAGGATACAACTGTGATTCACAGGTATAATATTCTTGTTAGGCGATAGCAACTGGTTTCTCAGATCTGTTGGGGGTCCTGGAACCTGCTGTCTTTGAAGTCTCTGGTCAGGGCTTCTCATGCACAGAGATATATTTAAAGAGTACTGAGAGTGGGAGAGTGGGGTGAGATGTTGATATATATATATATATATATACATATATATATATATATGGATTAAATACCAAAAGTAAGGGATGGTGCCAACTAGCAAAGACCCAGCTCCCCTCTTAGCTATAACCCTGACTCCCATGGACCCCACCCCCGCCCTGCTTTCAGGAGTTGGAGGATTGAGGAGCATCCCCCCTCAGGAGCCCAGAAGTAGCCTGGAAGGCAGTGGTTCAATGCATGTACCCCAAGCAATTCCTGTTGACTACAGGTCATCAAGGACCAGGAGGCAGACGGACAGAAGTGACTGTTGCCTCTTCTCTTGCCCCTTTCTTGGAGGTCAGACCTGGGGTAACTGGACCCACCAGAATGGGAAAGGAAGGGTTGAGGATCCCCCAGAGCAGAAAAGGCATAGGTTGGGCAAAGAATAGGTAGGCGACCACCATTTTATTTTTCCCTGAGACGTTGGTGCCTTCGGGCCTGACGCATTCCTGAAGTTTTCTTATGCTTCTGGTCCAGCACCTGGGCCATGTAGTTCTCCTGCTGCTTCTGGATCCGGAAGTCAGACATGTGATTCCTGCAACGGAGCCAGCTGGCTGGTCGTGGGCTGCAGACAGCTCAGGGTAGGGGCCAGAGGTCAGGCTCCCCACTTCCATCAACAACCCCCAGCCTGGCCCAGGGCCCTCACCTGAATATCTGTTTCTGCTGGCAGATAACTTGCTGCAACTCCTTAATCTCATTTTCTTTGCCATTAAGTATATCTTCTTGCTTTATAATGTGAGACTCAATTTCTGTGGGGGAGAGAGGCAGGGAGGAGGAGTGGTTCCCATCCCAAGAGCCCCTTCATGAGCTAAGTCCCTCATGGGACTTTTAGAACTTTGTTCCCCCCACCCAGGGCCTCTCTGGGAACAACTGCTAATACCTTAGTAGGAATGAGTTTATTATGGAGTTTTGGGAAGAGGGACAATGTCTGATGAGTGTGTCAGTGTCTTTACAACTCTATTCTGGACCTCACCCGGCTGAGGCAGATGAAGGCCCTTGGGAGAAATGATCCTAAAGGCAGGAGGATGAATGACTCCTGTCCTCATTCCTACAAATATTTACAGATGTCACCTCCTTGGTGAGACCCTCCTAAGACTAAAAATTACAATCATTCCTAATACTACCTATCCCCCTTTCCTGCTGCATTTTCTTCCTTAAGCATCTATCACACCATAAATTTCATTCTTTCTCTCTCTCTCTAGTGTATAAGGTCCACAAGCGATTTTTATGTTATTCACTGCTTTATCCTTAAGGCTCACAATAGTTAACAGCATGTAATGGGTACATACTAAGCATATTTATGAAATGAATGAACAGGACATCCTCTGGGGGTCTAGGACTTAGAAATCTCATCTTGATCAGCCATTTCCATCCAACTGACTCACTAAGGATTAGAGAAGCCGCTTAGTAGGGGTCCTATCCCTAGTACCCTCCCCCCAAAAAAGTCTTCCCCAACTTCCCAAGGTACCCACCAAGAGGGCTGACTAGATGCCCAGCAGTGTGCTGGGGCTTCAGGGGTAATGGGAGAAGGTGGAATCCCTACCGGCATGAGACAGATCCTGAAAGGAACATTAAGACCCAGAAGCTGAGGGCTGGTATACAGCTCAGTGGTGGAGCACTTGCCTTGCATGCATGTGGGCTTGGCTTATACCCCCAGCACCACAGGAGGGAAAAAAAGGGTGTCAGAAACTGATTAGAGAACAGGACAAGGCTACATTCCAATAATGCTCATATTGATGAGGCAATGTTACCATTTGTGCCAGTTATCTCCCTTTTCAGATGTGTTTCTTCCGTAAATTGGGGACAGAGATAGTTTCTTTTCTATAGTGGGGTGGAGAAGACCCCCAAAATTTGTGTTTTGGGTCAAAATCCAAGGAGCTACAGGGACCTGGGGGTGCTTTATTCATGTAATTGCCCTTCATGGAGCCCTGGGAAATTTGGATTTACACAGGAAAAAATCCCACTGCTTTTAGATGTCAGACAGAATTAACTAGCACCCAGCTCTGACAATACAGAAATGCTGACACATGTAGGTTTTCAGGAGAGAAGATCTGGTACCAAGTGAAGGTACAGCATGGAAAGGAGGAAAGAGACAGGCGGAGGGAGAGAATGAAAATGAGCTCACTGGGTGATGGGACCAGGACTACCGAATCTCCCTCCCAAGGTCAACCAGCTCCAGATTAATTGCTTATTAAGTTCTTTTGGGAACAAAGATTAAAAATTTGTGTGACTCTTAAAATAAAAATCTGTAGTATCCAAATGAGAATGGTTAGAAAATCCCTTTGATAAGAATAAAGAGCTATGTTAAGTGTAAAAATCAAACTGAAACTTCACAAGGGGGAAGTGGTGGGGATGGGAGTGGGTCAGGGTAAGATTCACATCAGACTGAGTCAGGCAAGGTGTTATTACCCACTGGAGGGGTTCAGGACATTCTGGGGGCAGGCAGCCAAACTCTGTCCCTATGATACATGAGTAAATACTGAATTAATCCATGGCCTGGGCTGATCTTAGTTGGAAGGAAATGCCTCAGAGGAAAGATGTCTCTGGAAGTAGTGGGGGAGAACCCCAGGTTCCTTTGGAGGAAGAAGGGGAGATGCCCAGTGAGAGAAAAGTACGAGGGGAACTTTAACCTCGGTATAAAGGCAGAGACTACTTGTTGGGGCCAGGAGGGTGCCAATGCTCAAACATCACTGAGGCCTTTCAACCTGCTTGACTAGATCAAAATGGCAGCCTTCTGGCATTTCCCAGTAGGAATTTTCACCAGTAGGGACAGAGGTTAGAGCCGTGTGTGTAGGGACACCATGACCCTCTTTGGGGCTTGGACTGATTTCTGGCCTATTTGAGATCTCCCTACAGATGTTGCATATGGAATTTATATCCATTTCTTAAGCTAGGTAAGGGTAGCTCAGCATTCCAGGTAAAAGAGGTTCCTGAGGACACTGGGTAGCTGACTTTGAAAGTCCCCTCAACTCACAGCATCAACAGAGCCAGCAAGTGGCTGTAAGTATGTATGTAGAGCAGAGTTGAAAATGGTGGCCCAGATATATTGTCATTGGTTCCCATAATTTTTAAAAAATCTTTAAATTATTTGCAAATACTATAAAAATCAGAAAAGCTTTCATTAAAACTTGGTTTCAGGGCTGGAGTTGGTAGAGCGCTTGCTTACCATGTGTGAAGCACTGCATAGAAATAAATGAATAAAATAAAGGTCCATAAGCAACTAAAAAACAAACAAATGAACAAAAAAAAAAAAAAAAAAAAAAAAAAAAAAAAGACCAAAAAAAAAAAAAAAAAAAAAAAAAAAAAAAAAAAAAAAAAAAAAAAAAAACAAACCCTTGGTTTCAGCCAAGTGTGGTGCATAGGCCTATCATCCCAGTTACTCAGTGAGACCTAATCTCAAAATAAAAAATATAAAGGGCTTGGTGTGTGGCTCCATGATTAAGCACACCTGGGTTAAAAAAAAAACCTTGGTACCAAAAAAAAAAAAAAAAAAAACCCTACAAAACTTGGTTTCAGCTGGGCATGGCAGCGCAAGCCTATTAATCCCAGTGACTTGGGAGGCTGAGGCAGGAGGATCACAAGTTCAAAGCAGCCTCAGCAACTTAGCAAGGCCCTATGTAATTCAGTGAGACGCTGTCTCAAAATTAAAAATATATATATATAAATAAAAGGCTGGGGATGTGGCTTAGTGGCAAAGCACCCCTGGGTTCAATCCCTGGTACCAATAAAACAAAACTTGGTTTCTAGCTTTTTGTTGTTTTTGTTCTTGGTACTAAGGCTTGAATCCAGGGTCACTTTATCATTGGGTTACATCCCAGCCCTTTTTTTATTTTAAGAAAGGGTCTTGGGGCTGGAGTTGTGGCTCAGTGGTACAGCACTTGCCTGGCATGTGTGAGGCCCTGGATTTCAGCTCTCCATGTCACCACAGACTCTGAGACTATCAGTCAGCTCTTCAACAGGACTGTTCTTGCCCTGTTATTCTTGTAGAAGGGTTATGAGTAAAGTACACTATTTCTAAAACTTACCAAAGTGGGAAAACAAAAGGTGGACTAAGAAGGTTGTATGTTTCAAGAAAAGTGGGAGCGAGCCCGTTCTTTTATGGCCAAGAAGAATATTGTACACCAACTGCTTCCCTCATTTCCGTGGCCTGCCTGGTACCTGAAGGCCTTTTCGAAGGTATGGCCCGCTTGGGCATGCCTGTATCCTCATCCGGGAACAGAAGTTGGGGTGCAACCCTGTTTTTGACACAGGCGCTGGGCTGTTAGGAAAGAGCCCGTGTATGATAGCGTGGTGGGGAGTACGAACCTCCCGCCTACCATTGCACTTGGTGATGAGCTGGTCCTTCTTGCTGGACTCCTGCAAGACTCTACTCTTGACATTGGAGAGCCTTTGTAGGGAGGATAAGACAAGATGATGAGCAGGACAGCAGGCAATAGGACCCCCACCCTCCAGAGTCCATCCTGAGGCCCACTCACGCTTTTTCAAAGGCCAGCTTCTCTTTCTCCAGCTGCTTGGACAATACTTCCACCTCACCAAGGGCAAACTGCAATTTCTCCTCTTCCTTGGCCAGGAGGACCTTGGTCTTAGCATGGGCAGCTTTCTCTTCCTGCAGGAGCAGCAGCAGTCACCTTAATACCTCAAGCCACTTTGGGTCTCCTAGGCTCCATTAAGCAGCTCCCATTCTCAGATGGGCACACAGAAGTCAGGGTATAGAAAGATTCTTGCCTTACTATGGGGGATGGAGGTTCTCAAAAGCCAATACTCTGCCCAACCACAGGGATCTTGGGAAATGGAGATTAGGAGCCTGAAGAGGGATTACTCACCACCAGCTTCTTCTCCACTGCCTGGAACTCTTCTTTACTGACAAAATTTTCGTCCTGGAGAATCATCTGCAACAGAGCCTGGCTCAGGGAGGGGTACACAGAGAATCCTCTAGGACCAGGATAAAGGATGGATAATGGGATGATGCCCAGGGCACCTAGGATGAGGCAGGTCCTTGGAAGGAATAATCAGTTCCACACATTCACTGAATTCCATCTCTAAGTCTTGCCCTCTGGGCTGGAGTTGTGGCTCAGTGGTAGAGCACTTGCCCAGCACATGTGAGGCACTAGGTTCTATTCTCAGCACTCATATAAATGAATAAAATAAAGGTCCATCAACATCTTAAAAAAAAAAAAAAGTCCTGCCCTCAAGGAATAACGGGCTCAAGGAGGGACATTCCACAGATGTGTTTAATGCCAG